GATCATATTCGGAATGTTACGTGGGAGAATCCGACGTAGCTGTCGATACCAAAGTCGTCACGACGTGGGATGAACGCTACAAGGGATACACAGACGCCAAGAGGAACGATGCGATAGAGCTTGATTAGGTTAACAAACTCGGCTCCTTCCTTGACGAGAAGACTACCAAGGTCGCAGCAGTAGCTGCTAGCAAGACAGAGGAGCCCAGGGCAAAGTGACAGAAGACGGAGCATGATGACCGCGACGACTTCATGAACTTCATGAAAGGCTATCCGCCAACCAAAGTCTACAGCGCGAAGCTAGCAAGACAGCTCGTGGCAAAACACAACATGAAGAAGGTGCCCTCACATGTAAGGAACTCTCGAGACTGGAAGGCATGGCACTAATGTCGCAAAGGCCCTTCTCACCGAAATGGCACGCTATAAGCAGATTTTTGGACTTCGCGTAACCCCGTTCGACTTCAATAAATGGGACAGGTTCCTTGACTCCGCCTTGGACAGGAAGGCACCCATGGATGATGTAAGGCCTGGCCCATGAAGGTTTGTAGTACCCAGGTTCGAGTCGTACATGTACCATTCAATCCACGAATAATCCATCTTATGGATTATTGTACTCTTTTTGAGGTTGCTTGCCGCAGTGGGGATTGACCTGAGGCTTGACAGATGAAGGCGTTGTGCTGGACTCCAGCGACGAGGAGGAGGCAGGCCAGGATGGCGATGGGGTGTTGAGCGTAGCGTCAGAAGATCTGATGATGCCAGAGAATAAGGCGCAGATCGAAGAGCTGAAGAAGGTGCTTGGACTTGAACACTAAGATGATTCATTTGGGCGGAAGGGGCGAGGGGTAGGGGCTAGTTCGTCGACTTGGTGTACCTACTGTACCTACATAAATACCAGAAAGGCTTTCTGGCTATTTTTTGCAGCATTTTGAGGCCGCAAAAGCGACCTAATGTTCCTTGGCCATTGTCTCCGAATTGGTGCCTCGCTTTGTTCGAGGTATTGCAGGAATCTTTTTGGTTGTCTAGCATCAGATGGATTCGTTGCGAGGTTCTGCATTTTGCGAAACCGTAGGAGACATAGTAATGCGGAGTGATATGGGGCTTAGAGTCTCGTTTTGCGCTTTTGTGTAGCATCTTGCTCGGACACGCCGGGCTATTGAGTCTTCATACACTACATCTCTTGCCTGTAACCCATAACAGTAAAAACTGTGAGCACAACTCGGATAGGTCTTCGAAAGATAACCACACGTCAATATGGCTATAGTTCTTCCACGGCAATAGTGAAGAGCATGATGGATATTTTTGTCGCCTTCACCCGCCCCTGGTGCCTCGTGAGTAGCATGATAGTGGGCTATGACGACTCCGAGCTCCTAGTCGGCCAAAAGCATCATGTTCTAGAGCATGCAGTGTAATGCGTGATACATATAGCACAGACGAGGCGGAGGCTTGACTGCTTTCAATAGCAATGTCATCGGGGACGAAAAATGGCACACTATTTGCTCTAGTCTCGCACGCATCCTGTGGCCCTTTCCATCTGAAGTACATAACTGGCGACCCTTTGGGGGTAGTATAAGCATCAATTGTAAGTCCTCCAGTGATTGTATCTCGCGAATCAGGTGCCAAGGTCGGCAATCTCGGGTCAGCCAGGAAGGACTTACAAGCAAGTTTGGAGCTCGAAAGTACGGTATAATACAGCCAGAAGCCTACAATGCCACCTCGGACGCAAATGAGTGAGATATGACGACTTGAAAACCTCTCGCGTACATCATCATTGTCTAACGCAGGCTAATCTCTCCATTACGGGCCTCCATTGCTACTTGTGACTTTAGTCGATACAGCTATTACGACAGATCTTGGATCACTCGCAACATGACGTCTTGACAGCGGACAACGATGATCAGGTATGATTTGCTTGGGCAGTGCATCCGTAGGGTATCAATTACGCGTTTATCGTTGAAGGACGGACAGATCGCCATGATTTCATCGTGACATTGGACTACGATGATGTTTGATATGTCCGCGAAGAGAGCCATCCGAACCCTGACGAACATACAATGCTACAAATGACCTGTGTGCATGGGAAAGATTCTTCTTTTTTGAAATTCTCGGAGAGCACGATGTCCATGTGTGCCGTCGTGGAAGTGAACTCCGCCTTGCACTTATCAATGCCTTAAGCTTCGGCTTCGGTGACATGTAGCAAGATGTATTTACGGAAGCTGCTTCTAGTAGTCCTCTTCTCCAACACTCTAAAGCACAGGGTACACTTTTCTACTTTATGCCTTCCTCCGCGAAATTACCGATGACCGAGTGACACACCAGGGTCGACCTACCGCCGCATAGGCATGTCCGCTTTCTGTCCGTCTGATCTTGCACGATGATCCAGGTCTTCAGCCTTAGTGAAGCATGGTTCTCTATGTCTTATAAGAATGCCTATCATAACAGGGGCGTATAAACTCGTCGGTCGTTTAAGCACACTCGCAACTTCGGTAAGCTGCACATACTGATCGCTGCCGCTTCTCTTTTCTGTCCCGTCGCGTCCTGAGTGGAACCTTTCTGGTTCCCTTCTAATACCCTCCATCCTCACCTCTGCATTTCTCTCACCACGACATTACCTTCACCACGACATTACCTTCTGAAAAAATCTCAATATAGACAGTACAGAGTGTCGCTGCACAGCGGACATTGAGGAACACAGATCGTCGCCGACATGCACTTGTGCCAACACCAGATGAGGCATTCTCCGACTCCGATGAACCAAAGGCCCCAGTCAGCCGTAGTGTCCGAGAGACCAAGGTTGTGGAATACACGGCCGACGCGAAGCGACTCAGGCAGCTCCAGGGACACGAGAGCCTCCGCCTGAAGCCTACCATATTGCGCAGGACGGACAGACTGACGAGTTCGTATGCCCTTGTTGCGATCGGCATTTTCAGGAGCGACCATCCGTCATCGGCCACATTGTCGAGCAGAGCCTGAAGAAGGCTCGATGCACCCTGTGCGGCAAGGACCTCGATCTGAAAACCACCCAGAAGAACAATTTCACGCAGCATGTCAAGCGACACGTGGGAGAGCCAGAGGTCTGTCGCATCAACGAGTGCCTCGCACAACCAATCTCAGTCACTACAAAACGCCGTCACATGGAGGCCGCTCACCCGGAGACCGTCAAGGCGAAGGAGATGTGGCCGTGCCCACAGCCCGGCTGTTCAACAGTGTGCTCGGCTGTTGATGCATTGAGAAAGCACCTCAAAATTCACCAAGGGGTAACCTGAGACATACGGAAAACAACACAAGACTTTGCCCTAGTAATGTACCCATCAGGAATTAGGTGTGAACCTGAAGAGCAACGCGTGAACACATCACACAACGTTCGAGGATATCATAGAATATAGCCCATGGATGTGAGCATATCTTGAAGATCTAAAGAGAAGCCTGGCGGAGAGAAGATGATCCCTGGGGCATTGAGGTAGCTCATGATGATGTCTAGAGACTACATACCATCTTGACGTTGCGGCGCTTGCTATATCGGGTCGCGAAGCCACCTTGCAGACTCATAGGGCTTATCTAAAGCCAAGGTTTGAATGTGTCTGGCTGCAGGCTGGATGGAATTTTTATGGGTAACTGTACGTGCGCTTACGAGATTTGCGTTGTTTCTATATACCATGAAAAAAATTTAGAGTTGGCCCATGTGCTATACCACAGCGTGATACGCAGAAAATTTGCACGAGATTTGGAGCTCGGTATAATCGTTCTTCCATGGCTTGCCAGTCAGACTGATGCGCTAGCGAGCATTCAAGGCAATGGCAACTTGGAAAGTTCTTGAGGTGGATCTTGTGATCTTTGTAACCCCATTGGGAATGAGCATACCTAGATATCAAAAGTGAGCACTATCAGCGAATATCTTCCAGTCCGAGGCGATAGAATTTATTCGTTACCGGACCTCTTCGCATGCCTGGCATCTCACACAGGGGAGGTGAATGTACTACTTGTTCAAGCCTCAGGGGGTTTTCCCTACGAGGTTTTACCCTGAGGGTACAAGGCAAATACGTCATGAAAACTGAAGGACTATGGCATGGAAGGGTACAGGAACAAGCTTGTGGTGGGGATAAATTGTGAATAGGGTATCTTTAGTGGAAAGCAATTAAGCGAGAGGAGGTATCGCTACCAGACAGGCTATCAAGGCCCGCTTTTCACCAGAACTGCTTTCTACGGTAGTTACTATAACATAAATCTATAGCTCAGCACGTCCTTATGCCCTTCGGGAGGCGGATCTGTATTATAGGTATAGTCCTTCAGACGAAAATCAATACTAACCAACCAACCAACGCATGCCTGGCGGCTGTCGAATCGATCAAAATTGCGCCGCATGGTCAGGACGAAGATTGATGTCGCTGATATTATAGCTACGGTAAAGTAGGACACACGCTGAGAAGAACACGTTCTGCTCTTGTGCTACATGCTAAGAAGGCGTCAGGTACGATCACGAGGATCGACCTACAGCGACTTGCACTGTATATCGCATTGAGAAGCGCTATTTGTTGGAGTTAGGTTACTCAAAATTGAATTTACACGTACCGATAGTTACGAGCGTCCCATCTCAAGATCCACGATTGCGCCATGGACGGGACGTGGGCCGTTGCAACCAAGGCGCATGTTTGTAGTACCTAAACCATTAACTGTAACGTTGAACTGTTATTGCAGAGTACAGGAGCTTGGAAAGAGTTGTTGATGGGGCACTTGAAGCTAAAGTTCGGCCGCCTGCATCTTGATGTGCTCCTAACTCCTGAGTGGGCATCAATTTCCATATATCTCAACCAACTCGGGGCCTCTAGGCACAAAAATGATGGCGTTAGAATCCTGAGCTTATTTAGAACAAGACAGCGTACTCAAAAATAGGCGATCGTGCGTGGGTCGTGCGTTGTTCCCAACGCTCGCCCAAACCCTCACACCGGCCCTCCTCAGCCTCCACACCACCCCCCAACCACAGGATCTACTCAGAACAAAAAGACAAGCCCGATGCGGGGGTCGAACCCGCAACCTTGAGATTGGATGGATCAATCGTTCTATGGGAACGAAGACTCTAAGAGTCTCACGCTCTACCGATTGAGCTAACCAGGCTGGTTACTTTGATGGAAAGACAGGAAAAAAGGACCAATATATCCCAGAATCACAAAGGAGCGTTCAGAGACACCATTTTGGACGCCAGCATGCGGCGAGAAAATTTGGCGATCATAGTACTGCGTTCGGCGGACTTGCACGGGTTGGGGGCCGAAAGCTTAAAGCGGGGCAATGCAGACTGTTTTACGCCGACACATCGCCGAGCATGGCAGCAAAACTTTCCTATTGCCTAGGAAGGCGATTCGATAGATAGAAGCATGGTGACTTGTTTACCATAGGTAGTCTCCAGTCCTGGCAAGAAACTTGAGCAGAGGAGTACATGGGTGCACAAAATGTCACTATTCCTTCAATTCTCCTCCTTTCTCACATGGATGTACTTGATAGCAAGCTACGAGTGACGTGTTTCGCATTTATAGATGATGAGGTCTGGACATGCCAGAGCAACTGCTCATGGTACCTTAATGATGAGCAACTAAGATCACTGATACTGCATGATGGTCCAACTTTATCAAATGTAGTCTCTGCGATCTACTCGTGATGTTCCTATGTAGAAGTCCCTTTTTCCTTAGTTCCTTATTTTGCCTGAGCACCAGTATCCTGTAACACATTATTAGCCTACCACATCTAGATGCTCATGCACCTCCATCAATCCAACTTACCAAATAGACCTGGTAAAAGTCCATCTTAACCCTTCCATCTTCCTTGACCAAATGCGCTCTCGCCGCCCATTCTAACCCCGACTCGCCTCCAGCCTTCAACCCATACTTGACTGTACCGTAAAGCATCACTTCATCCGAATTCGCACCAAATGGGAAAATCTTAATGGCGTTATGTTTGCGACTCGCAACTTTCTCCCACATCCCTTTGCGCAATGCAAGAATCTCTACAGCAAGCAAGGGTTAGTTGTTGATGCGGAACACGAAGATGTGGCGGGGCAGATCCGAAAGCGCACCTTCTGTCCCAGACACTTTCTTCGAAGCCATGATCAACGTCGCATCTTTTGTGAAGTTCTTGACGTATTCCTCGTGCGCGGAAGGTGTGTCTGATGTAGCGTAGAATTGCTCGAAAAAGGTTTTGTAATCTTGGTCGAAATCGACGCCAGAGGGGTAAGAGGAGGCGTATGCACTCATTGTTGCTATAGTCTAGTTTGGCCGTTTGTATATGTCGTGGAGAGTGGTGAGCTTGTGTTGTATCTGTATTGGATGGCTATGTAAGCTGTTGGCGCAAGTGGAGTCTGACGTAACAGGATGGTGTCGGATAAGGGACGGATGCGGGAAGGGTCCGGTAGATGATGATCGAGTTGCTGGGGACCATGCCCATTGAACTTCGACTGATCTTACCTGGAAAGTGCTGTCTTGGAACCAATGCAACAAAATCGGTGGTGAGTGGTAATAACACACGTGTACGCATTGGCGGTATGCACACAGACTGACAGCCGCATCATGTATCAATCTTGTTTGAATCTCATTATAGTGTCGTTATTTTGAGATCTTGAACATTTGACCTATCATCGCATAGATATTTGGTGTATCAAGGCCATACACGCCTCAGGGCCTCATCCACAATTTCAGACACCGGCCATGAGATCCCTCGAATCATCGACAGCCTTTGCCTTTCCACCTCTACCTCCTCCCCTGCCCCCTGCCCGGCCTCCCCTCTTTCCCTTCCCTTGTCCCTCAGCGATCTCCTTCTCCCACGCCTCAACATCTACCACCACACCTTCCGGTAATTGTCCATCACTCATCAACACACCACCACTTGCCTTCCGACTCTCCACCCGCTTGAAGAACTCATATGGCAGAAAACCTTGTTCGTTGCCCTCCGTCAAGATGACGCCGTTCTCAGATATGAAGAACTTGATACCCGCAGCGATTGCAGCTTGGATATCAATGTAGATCAGTATGGATGAGTTCTTACGCATGCCCGAGATCACGGGTGCTGCATCTTTCTCTTCTGCCGAGCCAGTAGACGAAGTAAGTGACTTGAAACCAGCAGGAAGACCAGATGCAAAGTGAATGTGATTGCGTCCCATGCGTCGTAGACCACCGCTCTTGAGGATAAGGTTCCAGGCAGGCTCGTCGGTGCCGTGAATAACTGTGTCCGGGATATTGCCGGCCTCCTGGGCGATTGGAGTAAGGAGACCATCGGTATCGACCTTGATGGAGTGTCCTTGATTGGCGCGGATAAGGTAGTCTGAGGGGTCATCTGATTGAGGCTCGTCTTGTGGTGTTGATGCAGCGTCTGGAGAGGGTATATTGTCGAGAGCTGAGGCCAAAATCATGGAGTACCGCTGCTTGTCGTTGTTTGCGACTACTTCACGTAGCTCTGGGAATGTGACGCCAAGTGCCTTGAGAGTCTTGGTGTTGAGCTCCAAAGCTGTTAGCAATCGCTTGACCAACTGTAGCTCCCAGTCCAAGTAGCAGTTCCAATCCCCAGGCTGCTTTTTTGATACAAACTTGAACTTCCAAAGTGTGCACATCGCTGTCGCGAGTGTAGTATTATAGCAAACTTACAGCATCCTGCACATTGACATACCCCCCCTTCCCCAACTTCAACCCCTCAGACCCCGCACCATGCCTCAAAAGCCAACTAACTTTGCGGGAGACCTGTGTTTCCCTCGATTGGTTCGCAGGGTTGCGACTACCGCCGCCTCGACCACCTCTGCCCATCTCTTTTAGTGCTCTGGTGAAAATTCGTGAAATTGTGGCGGAGACAATCGGTGAAGCCTTCGAAGACGGTGTGTAGTATCAATGAAATTCGCTGTGAGTATATTCGAGATGAGTGGTGTGGAATGAGACAGTCTTGTTTGTGCTGGTACGAAGGGCGGGTGTAGTAAGAGGCGCGAAAAAGGGTAAGGGTGAGGGTTTGGCCAGGTGCGCTGTGATTGGACGGAAAGTGGGGTTGTGGCTGCCCTAGCCGTAATGATGGTTAGGTACCACAAACCTAGAGTCACAATGCTACAACTCAAAGTATATATTTCAAGCAAAAAATTTGAGAGGTGCTCAGCGTTGTTGAATGGTAGAACATGACTGCGATCTTGATATGAGGCGTGAGATCAACCAGTCTCCAGCCTTTCTTGACACTCCACGACGGCACACTGAGCAGTACCTTTGCTATCTTATGGAAGCAGATTTCGTTATGAGCCTTGCTAGAAAAAAATCTCTGGCTATGACATGGAAACTAGCGCGGTGCGGTCGCCGTACATGTATGATGTGCAGTCCCGTGTGTCGTTGCTGATGCTGTGGGGTCTCACGACAGTGCAATTTTAGCATCAGAGTAGTAATGACCTGGAGGCCAGAAGACTGCGAAGAGGTGCTAGGGGAGCAGGCTAAGTTTAGGTAGGAGAAGTTACATAGTATATCTAGAGCTGGAACATAGATTCGTGTGCTGTTCGGTGAGTAGCAGTGTGTTGTGTTTGCTACATCTTGCTGTGCTTTAATTGGGGGGATGAATGTGGAGTGCGGTGGGATCAAGGCTGAATTGAGACAGTCAGCTGCAGTACAGTCAGCTGAGCTGTACCGACTGAAGCGGATTCTTCGACATACTTAGGAACCTGGACGTTCTGTCGATGTGTCTCGCTTCACTGTCGCAACTTGGTGTTGGTCGTGTGGAGTGACGACAATACGAACATGAATTTCCATCACGACCAACGCCCTTTTCAGAGTAAACAAGTAGACCAAGACGTCTAAAGTCTGAATGGCACGCCATATGTCTCGTACTACATGGTTCGTTTGTGAGTATGTACAATACGCCTGCTAGCCTCACCCGAGGCGCTCGCTCAAGCTAAGCCAACTGCAGTGGATCGAGGTGAACAGACTCGGGCTGTGGTTTTGACTTTGGAAAATAGTAAACTGGGGTTTCCCCACGATTCCCAGACCTGGATGGCAGTACTAGTTAATTTACTTGCAGCGTACGAGTCGAGCAATGCCCATGATTAGTGTATGCACGGACTGGGATCTATCGAAAGATGAGGTTGGCATTCCCTACAACGACATGGAAAGGGTATTGATTGATCAAATGATCGCTGGCATAACATTAAGCCCGTGGTTTATCGAGATACGAAACAGCATTCTTTGGCTCAATTGTCACATCCAAACTGTGGCTGTGACTGCATGCATGACGGCGACCGGAGGGAAGTTTAGGCAACCTCTCGAACAGCATGTTGTACCGCATCTGCCAAAACAACTTGTCTACCGTGTAAAATCTCAGTTTATATTGCTGGTGATGAAGGACCCACTGCGCCGGTGAACGCCTACCGTGGAGTAAACAAACCTGCTGCAGAAGACATAGCCAACCTCGACGTATTCAACAGTCATCTCAACACCCCTCAGCATGCGCAGCCCTCCTTAGCACCTTCTGTCCTAGCACTGCCCAAGTTGACCCGTGCATCCTCTTGTCGGCCCAGATTTGTCTGTCCACCCACACCGCGTGGTCCCTTGAGACTCGTCTCTGGAATCGCGTTTGCAATGGCAGTGAATACCTCGGCAACATTGTGTCCGGTCTTGGCACTCGTCTCGAAAAAGAGCAGACTCTCCTCGTCGGCATATGCCTTCGCAGTCTTGGCAGGCACCCTCCTGGAGTCTGCGCCATCCTCTGTTGCATCCTCTTCGCCCTCTGCCGCTGGCGCAGCGTCCGCATCCTCCGAGCTCTCTTCGCCGGCGGCGGTGGCCAGATCGAATTTGTTCCCTACGAGCGCGATGACGATACCTGGTGACGCTTGGCGGTGGAGCTCAGCAACCCAATGTTGCGCTTTTGTAAGCGATGATGGCTTTGTGATGTCGTAGACGACGAGCGCGGCTTGGGCGTTACGGTAGTACATGGGGGCGAGAGAAGCGAAGCGTTCCTGGCCTGCGGTATCCCAGATCTCGAACTTGATAGTCCTTGTTGGGAGGTTGCATTTCTGCGTCAGGAAGGCAGCTATTCATCAGAGTGTTAGTTCCGAGGTATGGGCATTGATCGTACAGAAGCACCACTCAGGTAGAAGCTGTGACGCGTGCATG